AAAAAAAAAAAAAAAAAAAGAATTCTTGGAAGTATTTTCAATAAAGTATCTAAAGTGTATTACCCAGTGCCTGTCAGGTCTTCAGCAGGGAAAATTTCTAGATTGTATCATTATGGGAGTATGTGGCTGGCTGGGCTTCTCACTTTTCTCCCGTCTCTTACTTTCTCTGTTCAGGGCAGCATCTCATCACAGCAGTTGCTGACCATCTGTTTGGGCTAAAGACAACATCATGGTGAGCAAGAGCCATATGACTAACTGCGGGGCATGGCTCCCTGACTACCAGCTGTGTTCCCAGTAATAGGTCGGAGAGTTGAAGGTTAAAAGAAAGGGTAGTGTTCAAAATTGGCTGTGTTCTCTGTTCCCCTTGAAGATGGGGTGGTGGGATAACCTTGTGTTTTTTTAGGGAAAACATAAAGATGAGAGAAGAGACATCTACCTTTGCTTAGGAAACAACACGGAATTTGGAGCCCAGAGACCTAGGGTGTGAATCCTGGCCCCATACTCACTGGCTGCATGACCTTGATCATGTTCCTTAATACTCCTCACCTGTAAAATGGGAGTGACAATCTCTACCTTGTGGGATTTTTGTGAGGATTAAACAAGATCATTTATACAGTCATTCTTCATAAACTTTTTTTATTGTTGTTGTCATAGTCAGCATCCTGTGACTGCTCAACTTCTTCTGGCAGGGAGTTAGGGAGGTTCCGGAGTGTGATTGAGCTGGACAGCCCATCTGTGACTGCAGAGCAGGTAGCTGCCATTGAGCAGAGTGTCAATGAAAAAATCAGAGATCGACTTCCTGTGAATGTGCAAGAACTGAGCCTGGATGATCCTGAGGTGGAGCAGGTGAGGGGAGAGCCAGTGGGGTGGCTCTGCAGAATGCCTCTCCAAGGGCTCCTCGTCAGAATCCAGACAGCCCTTCTCCCTCCCCTCTACTCCAGGTCAGGGGCCGGGGTTTGCCGGGTGATCATGCTGGGCCCATTCGAGTTGTTACCATTAAGGGCATTGATTCCAACATGTGCTGTGGGACCCACGTGAGCAATCTCAGTGACCTTCAGGTAGGTGAGGGGGCCTGTTGAGTGGCTGAGAAAGAGGGTAATAGGGGAGTGGGGATCACAACAGGGCTGGGAGTGGTAGAGGGGGACAACTGAGGAAATTTCTCCTTCATTGCTTCAGAACTGGAGAGGAGGTCTAGGTCTCTTGTGCCCTCAGGTTCCAGGACCCACTATGGTTTATGCATGTGTGTATGTTACCCCCTTGCCTCATATAGGTCATTAAGATTCTGGGCACTGAGAAGGGGAAAAAGAACAAAACTAACCTGTTATTTCTGGCTGGGAACCGGGTGCTGAAGTGGATGGAGAGAAGTCATGGAACTGAAAAAGCATTGACTGCTATGCTTAAGTATGCCCCCTTCAATTTCCTGCTTTTTCTCAGATCGTGGATACCCTGGGGCTTAGTTTTCCTACCTGTAAGGTAGGCAGAATAATCTTTTACCTTTGGGAGGTAAGATGCAATCATAAATGATAATGTGCTTTGGGTAGTAAATCAGACTCACATGAAATGGTTTATTCCTTTGTATCCTCTCATCCAATTGCCTAAGGGGCCTCCTCAGTATGTCCCCAGCTCCCCATCTGGAGGGAGGCACCCTAGCAAGAAGGGCATCCTTGATTTACGCCCCCAACGCCAGAAGCAACTAGGAAGCTGGGCAGGTCTTCACTGACCTTTCTTTCACAGGTGTGGAGCAGAGGATCATGTGGAAGCAGTGAAAAAGCTCCAGAACACCACCAAGCTCCTGCAGAAGGTGATTCATTCCATGGAGGGTGGAGAGGGCATGGGCTCTGCCTGGAATAGGCTCTCTAGACCTCGGCCTTCTGCCTAAGCAGATGTGTAGGGGGTAGTGAGGGGAGTGTTAGGTGGAAGGAAAATGGTGCTCTTTTTTCTTATTCTTTTTACTTGTCTACTGAGTTATTACATCCATTTCAGAACAACCTGAATCTGCTCAGAGACCTGGCTGTGCACATTGCCCACAGCCTCAGGAACAGCCCAGACTGGGGAGGTGTGGTCGTACTACACAGGTGAGAAGTAGGAGCTAGAGACAAGTCAGAGGGGCCATGTTGGGCTCAGGGCTCAGCTTATGCCTGGTGTGCGGTGCATGGTGGGAGGCAGGTTGCTCACTGGTATTCTCAATGCTGAGTAGACCCTAAGAAATGTGTCACCTACCAGATTTCCTGGGTTTGTTACTAACATCTTGACTGTAACCCTGTAACTGGTTAGCACCTTCCCTCACCTCCTCCTCCACCTAACAGATCTCTGCTTACCCTGGTGAATCCTATTTAAGGGAGACAAAAACAAACCCAAAGCTTGTTCATAAACTGCTGAGGCTGAGAAGGACTTCTTGCTGATGCTTGGCCAGCACTCTTTCTCTTTGCGAAGGGGTCTGGGACTTTGTGTATACAAACACAAAGCAAGCAGCAAGGTTAGCCTCATGGGTAGCAAAGTTAGCCTCAGGAGTAGCAAGGTTAGCCTCAGGAATAGCAAGGTTAGCCTCAGGAGTAGCAAGGTTAGCCTCAGGAGTAGCAAGGTTAGCCTCATGAGGAGGAGCCAGGCTTCCTGTAGTTTCACAGCTACCTCTCCAACCTGGATCTCATTTCTGTGTCTTTTGTTATAGGAAAGAGGGTGATTCTGAGTTCATGAATATCATTGCCAATGAGATTGGGTCAGAGGTAAGAAGACAGCATGAGATTCTCTACCCTGCCCCATATAGAGACCTAAGGAGGTAAAGTGAGGGGTGTAGTTTAGCTGAAGTCCCTCTACATTAACACATGAAGAGTAGGGAGTAGAAATTTATTCAATCCTGTTTCCTTAGCACTAGCTATGAGCCAAGCTCTTTTTCAGGTGCTGAGCTAGATCTATGCTATTGATCTTTGTGAGGTTGTGACATTTATCAGCTTCTGGGCTCCTTTTATCAGAGCTTCAGCTCCTCAAAGCCACCCAGAGATATGTGTGCTGAGGACCCAATATTAGAAATACAGGGGTTGGCAAGGCTCTTTGAAGTCTGTATCATCCATTTTCCTCTGCCTCTGGCTTTGCTTGCCCTTCCTCATCCTGGCAGTCTATAGCTTAGAGATTTCCAGAGTCTCTCTTGCATTTACTCTAAAACCCTTTTTTGGAATGCATACCGTGGGTCAGTCATTGTGTATCTTTCTTTTCCTAATTCTGTGTAGACAGTACTGATGCTTGAGGAGCTCACATTCTAGTCTGGGAGACAAACATGTGTGGACATTTATAATTTAGAGTGATAAACGCTAGAGGTGGAGGAGCACATTACCTGAAAGGTGGGGAAGCTTCAGGGGAGGGTTCCTCCAAGACTGCTTAGAGTTCAGACAGAGAAGGGTGCAGGGGGAAGCACAGTGATTTAGGCAGTGGCAGGCACATGATGTATGGTGGGGGGTTTTGGAAAGGAGTCAGACTGCAAAAGGCTTTTTATGCTTGGCCATGCTTAGCAGCCTTCTGCCTCCACCCTGATGTTTGCCCTCAGTTCTTATAGTCACTCTCAAAAAGTTTCTTGGCTCTCGTCAGCCAGGGTAGAGGGACTGCATCATCATTCATCAGGAACATGAGTCTGTGGTTTAGGGGGATATATCTGTTCCTGAGACTCAGGAGAGTGCAGGTTTTAGTGGGGTTGACCCTACATCCTTAAGTATCAGGCCTCATCTCCTTGTCTTACTTCCTAGGAGACCCTCCTGTTCTTAACCGTGGGCGATGAGAAAGGTGCTGGGCTCTTCTTACTGGCAGGGCCAGCTGAGGCCGTGGAGACTGTGGGGCCCAGGTAATCCTGCATAGACTCTCTTGTGCACATGGGAGAGCCTGTAATCTGCTAACCTACTAATACAGCCCTTTGTCAATTGAAAGGGGCCATCACATCTGTGATCTCATTTGATTCACATTACAGGCATGTGAGGTGATTATTCCTAGTTTGACACATGAGGGTCTTTTGGCTCTAAATCTCATGTGCTTATATTTTTTCTTTCAGAAACTTAGATATATAAGTGATACATGAATACAGGTGCTGGATTATCAGCTGTCAGACGCAGCAGGTTCTCAGGAATCAGCAAAGCAGAGGCACAGATGAATTTTGGGGTGGGGGGAATTTGGATTCTGAGACTAAATCAAAAGAGGTATTGAACATAGTCATTACGGAAAAATTAGAGCTTTGCTGGACTTCTTTACTCTTTACCCTTATATTCCTGTTTATGTTTTCTTTTTAAAATTTATTTATCTGGCAGCTTGCCAGTATGGGGATTGTTTTCTTATTTTAAGTTAGATATGGTGGTATACCTAAACATAATCCCCATGTTCTTTCTGGCATTTAGGGTTCTCGGAGTCCTGATTAGCTCTGATGAATATGTTTTCGTTGGAAAACACTGAAGGAAAACATAAGTATTTATAGCAGAGGTTCCTGACAGGCAGCCATGTGTGGCCTGTAAACTAGTTTGGTCTGTGTACTGTTTTAAATTTTCGAAATTAGTTGTTACATTTTAAGATTGGGAGATTTTGAAGCCAGCTGGTTAGCTCAGTTGGTTAGAGTGTGGTGCCAAACTGATCGAACCAAGGTCCACGATTTGATCCCTGTACTGGCCAGCCTCCCCTCCACACACACCGCCCTCCCCCACAAAAAAAGAAAAAAAATTAGATTTTAACATGAAAATCTAAAGTTCTAGCTTTTCTTTTAAAAAAGAAAAAGAGGGAAGCTCTTCCAGCACTGGGCCTGCGTTTCTACATGGTAGTGTGACGAGGAACTGAGCGGTGGCCTCCTTCTTCAGACAGGCCAGGCCTCCCCACTTTGCCACATTCCCCCCCTTTCTACCACCCAGCTTGCTTCACTGCTGCTGCCCACAGGTGTCTGTGTTTGCAGCTCCTTATCCCTAGTGTGCCCGCACCCTGCTCCCTGGAGATTACTGTAATTTATCTAGCACCATTTATAGACACTTAGATTTTTTCCAGTTATTCACTCTTATAGTGAACATGGTATGTATATCTTTGTGTACATGTGCAAGAATTTTTTTTTTTTTTTTTGTCTTTTTCGTGACCAGTAAGGGGATCGCAACCCTTGGCTTGGTGTCGTCTGCACCGCCCTCAGCCAGTGAGCGCACCGGCCAGTCCTATATAGAATCCGAACCCGCGGCGAGAGTGTCGCTGCGCTCCCAGTGCCGCACTCTCCCGAGTGCGCCACGGGGCCGGCCCCATGTGCAAGAACTTTTTTTTTTTAAGAATTTTTAAGAAAGATTTCTAGAAGTCATCTACTCTTCCTCTCCCTTCCCCAGGGAGGGAAAAGACTCAGGGCTTCTGTTTTTTTTTTGTGTGTGTGTGTGTGTGTGGCTTTTCTTTCAGAAACCTCCCTGACTACATCTCTGTTCCCCAGGGTGGCTGAGATCCTGGAAGGCAAAGGAGCGGGGAAGAACGGCCGCTTTCAGGGCAAAGCCACCAAGATGAGCCGGCGAGCAGAGGCGCAGGTGCTTCTCCAGGACTACGTCAGCACGCAGAGTGCTGAGGAGTGAAGGCTCAGGGTGCCCACCTTCTGTAACCACAGAAAGTGTCTTGCATGAGAAAATAGTTTAACTCAAAATGGTTGTGATACCACTTATGTTTATGTGACTAATTTGTACCATATATGCCAGTGTGCTTGTACAATTAGTATCTTTGTGAATAAACAGTTTTCTAATTTGGCGTCTATTAGGCATCACTTATGTGAGTGAGCATTATGTTGATGAAATGTACTAATTTATCTAAACCCAGCTGAAACCTTTCTTCATGGAGAAATAGAATTGCATAAGGAGAGTACAAGTCATTCTGGAGGCTTGACCTAAGGCTTAGCCTCATTCAAATCTTCTTTCTTCTTTTTTTTCTTATCTCTTTTCCCAGTTTTGCGTTTTAGAATTGAAAAGTATCAATGATTTTGCAAGTAGTTCAAAAGCCACAAAAGTATATAGTAGAAAGATGCTCCAAGTCTGCTATTGAGGCAGTAAAAGAATGAAAAGAGATATACTGTTGCAAGTCGAACCCAAAGCTGGTGTGGCAATACTAATTCCAGACAAATTCAATTTTAAGGCAAGAATCATTATTAGAGATCAAGAGGGACAGGTAATGATGAAAGAAAGATATAGTAGTTATAAATTTGTATCTAATATCTGATAACAGCCACAAAATACATGAAGCAGACTGACAGATCTCAAAGGAGAAATAGACAAATCCACAATCAATGGAAGACAACTCATCTTTCAGAAACTAATAGAATAAGTGCCAGCATAAAATCATTGTTAAAAGCCTGGGTTGTGGAGTTTCACAGATGGGTGGAAATCCTGGTTTTGTGCATCCATAGGTAGTAAAACTATAAAGATCCAGTCACGGTTTTAGCCAGAACAAAGATGGGCAAGGCATAGAGAGCTAGGATGAAATAACAGAAGGCAAAAAGAAAACTGACACCCAGGGAGAAACTGACACACATAACCTGTGGCTGTGGTTGTGGTCAGCTGTTCCTATATTCTTTCAACCCGGAAAGGAGCATCATTAAATGAGTTTCTGGTTGCAGACATGATTAATAAGGGACAGCTCATTAGCCTTTGGTGAGGAATCATCTTTTCCTCATGTGTCAAGACCCCCTAAGGAGAGAATGACAGGGTCCAATTAGTCTTCTCTAAAAGCCGAAGGAACTGAAATAGCTTGTCTGGTAAGATTGAAAGCTACAGGCAGATGACTTGTCAGGGACAGAGCTGGAGCCAGGAGGCAGATAAGGGGGATTGCTGGGCTGTAGGGAGGTGCCAGAAGGGAGGCAAAATTTGAAGCACTGATGCTGCTTCAGTAGGCTCCCAGGGGTAAAAAAGGTATTGCTTTTCTCAGTTAAATGAATACCACTTTTTGGTTTTGTTTTTTTGGCTGCATGTACGGGGATCTGAACCCTTGACCTCGGTGTTGTAACACCATGCTCTAACCAACTGAGCTAACCAGACAGTCCTAAGTTCCATGCTTTAGATAAAACCATAGTACGAAGGCATGCTGTACAAAATGGATCCATTGATGGAAGACAAGGAAATATTTGCTTCACAGAAGGTTTATTTCTAGGACTCAAGACAGGATTCCTTGAACCCATTTGAATTCATTTTTGTCTGTACATTTGTGTGATCTTCTGTCCCTCTGTGTCTTTGTTTTATTAGGGTGTGTCTTGGTCTGATCTGGCTGCTATAATAAAATACTGTAAACCGGGTGGCTTATAAACAACCAAAATTTATTTCTTACGGTTCTGGAGGATGGGAAGTCCAAGATCAAGTCACCATCAAATCTGGTGTCTGGTGAATGATTACTGGTTCATGGACAGCTGTCTTTTTTGCTGTGTCCTCGGATGGTGGAAGGGACAAGGGGTCTTTTTTGGGCCTCTTTCATAATGGCACTAATCTCATTCATGAGGGATCTGCCCCCATAATCTAATCACCTCCTGTTGAGCACTTTTACCTGCCCGCAATCCTGCTGATTGGGCCAATTGTTGAGCTAGGGCTGGGTCTGGAGCTCACAGACCCCCTCAAGCCCAGTGACCAGACTGGGTCACAAACCCTTCACATGCCAGGCTGGGTCACCAGACCCCTCACATGCAGGTCTATGAGCTAGGTAACTGGCAAACAGGTCCTTGGAAGTGGTAGGTTGGAGAGCATGGCTATGTGCAGCAGACGCCTGAAGCAGTAAAAACACCAGCCGAGTAGCAGTGCCAGGCATGTGCATTAACTCCACCTACCCACACACAATTTGCCTACAAAGAATGTGCTGCACCACCCTCAACTATACCTAAGGCGAGGGGGCCTGACTAAATTATTCTATTTTCCCAACACCTCCCAAAGGCTCAAAGTCCTAATGCCATCCCCTTGGGGGTGAGGATTTCAACATATGAGTATTGAGGGGGATGCAAACAATCAGACGGTGGAGGGCTTTAATAAAAAGAGCAGTGGACTGCAAGGCCATCCTTGATCACCACCACTCAGCTGTGGTCTGGTCACTTAGACTAGAGTGACCATACAGGTTGTTATCCAAACTCTGGCACTTTTGAGACTGAAAGGGGTGCTCCAAACCTCACGCCAGAGCAGCTGTCATAAACTGGGGCTGTGTCAGGCAAACCTAGATGTCTGGTCTCCCTGCTGAGACACTCCCAGAGTTTGTTTCTTGGCTTGAAAATGGGGACGTGAACATGGCATCCTAAGAGAGAAAGAGATGTTGTAACACCAAAGTCAAGGGTTCAGATCCCTGTACCACCCAGCCACTCAAAAAAAAAAAAAAAAAAAAAAAAAAAAAAAAAAAAAAAAAAAAAAAAAAAAAAAGCCCCAAAACTCACCACCCCCAANGACGGCGGCCTCTGCGGTCTCGGGCGCCGCGAGGTCGTGCTCCCGAACAGGTGAGTGCACGGCGGTTCCGGGCGGAGAATGCCGGGGCCGCAAACGCGCGGCCGCCGCCTGGAGACCGCACGGAATGAATGAGAAGCCTGGGGCTTCCGGGTTGTGGGGTCTGGTCTGGTCTGGTCTGGTCTGGAAGGGGATCCTCTTCTTGAACAGCTGTCTCTGCTCCTTAACCATTGTAGACAGTTACTACCAAGTCTAGGCAGTATCCTGTTTCTTGCAGTTTTAGCTTCATGTGCATGCATTCATTCATTCATTGCTTGATCGCTCATTCATTCACGAAGGTCTTTACAGAATGTCTCACACACTGTAGATGCTTTATTATAGGACGTAAAAAAAAAAAAAAAAAAAATGTGAGCTTTAGTCTGTCCCTAAGGAGTTTATTGCCCAGTAAGAGATGAGATTTGCACAAAGAAATGGTTATTTAATGAAATGAAATACTTTTTATTCTCTTAAAGATTTGCAGGTGGCCCAAGGTGCAAGAGAGCTGGAAGTGCCTTTCAGCACTGGTGATCCTTTTAGGTTTCTTGAACCTGGTTGGCATTTGGGCTGGGCCTTGAAGTGTGGTTAGGATCGGAACACAGTATCAAGCATTTTGTTTTGGAAAAGCAGGAGCAAATGGGGAATGGTATGAGGCATGGATGGGGAAGGATGAGAGATGAGGCACTTTGCAAAATGGGTAGTGTTTCCCAAATAGCGTAGAACCAGCATTAGATGCTTTTTAACAGTGCAGGTTCTTGGATCCTACTGTAGGCCTATTAAATTAGAAATGCGAATGGTGGCCCCGGATTCCACATTACTGAACACAGTAACAATAATAATAAAACTCCAGATTATTCTTATATGACCCAAAGTTTGGACATCTGGCACCCACATGTCAGAGAGGCCTTGAAGGAGCCCAAAGCTCTTCTCCCTTCCAGAGTCTTTCATGAGGGCGAGTTGTGAGTCCTGGCACTTGCCCCCACTTGACAATCAGTTCCTTCCTAACTTGTGCCCTTTGACCAAAGGAGGTTACTGGGAAGATGAGTGCAGTCCCTTTGGAGTTATCAAATTCTAGGTTGTTAGAATTTAAAGGGGGCCTTGGAGATGATCTCAGTGTTTTGCTTCCTTTTCTCAAGCAAGGATAGCAGCCCCC